TAGTTGGATTTTTGGATTCCTGCCTTTGTTGAACTGTTTCCTTTGATTAAATCTGCAAGAACTCACCCCTGCCTCCCTGCCTCTGCATCTGGGTTCACAAACACCAACCAAGACGTGACAAACAGTATTTGGAAGAATTGCCTTTAAACTGTATGTTGGGGATTAAAAGTTTTCAGGTTGTTGTAGTTTTGGTCCATTCCTTCTTACAGAACTACTGTAACTGGATCAGGTTTTTCGGCACCTTGACGATCAAATTTTCAGCTACCTTGTGAACGTCCCTAATAAAATAGGCACTGTTTTGTTTAAGCCAGTGTCTAATCATATGGTATACTGAAGGATATTTATCGTTTGAAAGAGCCCTGTGTGCCAAATCTTTGCTTTTCTGCCTGATGTTTGATTTCCACATCATTGTCTTCTTTAATAATGGCATCTCATTTGCACATTTCTTCAGGCAGCATTAAGCTTCCACAGGATGATGGTGCCACCACTATACTTCACAGTCGGAATTGTATTTAATTCCAATTGTAACATTGGCATTTTTGACCAAACACATTATTTTAGACTACGACACATCTCTGTAAATAAGGGGCCAAACCTAAGGGGAAAGATCTGTAGATCACATAAACACCACAAAACAATACCTTTAAAATCCCCACTTTAGAAGATATCTAGACATTTTAACCACCACATTCCCCTTCTGAAAAGCCAGTTTACTTGGAAAAAGTCTTTGTGGGATGACTGACTTCATTCTGTGCACATTTGGTTTCTCTGAGTCATTTCCCACATTAAAAAAAGCTCTCTGCTAATTTGAAGCTTGACTTTAAACCTAACTTGAAACTTAGATGCAGTTCGGGAAGTGAAAACAATGAAAAGTGAAACAGTGAAACAGAGAAAAGCTGAATGGGTGATAAGATGGAAAAGATTTGTTGGCACTTTGAGAAATTAAAACTGTTTAGTGTGAAAAAAGATGCTACAGTCAGCTTTCCAGTTTAATCATCTTAAATTAAGCATTTTTAAAATAGCTTGTAATATTAAGACTGAAAATTAAAAATCAGTTAGATTTTAGGCATAAGATCCACCTTGGATGGGATTCAAACCTTTATTTGCAAAAAAAACAAAAACAAAATATACTAATCACCTTACATCCTAATCAGTGAAAACCAAGAAAATTAACAAAATGTTACTGAATAAGGAAGTAATTTGGATGATTATCTATAAGCCTTGGATTTTTATTTTTCATCTTAGATTTTTATACATATTAGTTTAATTATAATCAGCTGTAGATTTAAATGTAGGGGCAAAGAAGGGGGTGGTGGGGTGGTCGCAATGACGGACATCTTTACTGAAGTACATAAGAAATCTATGCAAATAAAGTCAAAAACTACAAAAAAATACATTTTAATACTATTTTTCTGTCCTTTTCTCCTCTAAGAAAAAAAAATCTATTTTAAAGGTTCAGTCTAACTGATTAGAGCAAATATTTATCAAAATAAATAAGAAAACTTTCGAAGAAGAACTTAAATTACCACACCAGTTCACCTTGAGGAGGACCTAACGAAGCGGTTGTTATGGTCAGCAGCTTCATTTCTCAACAAGACATCATTTACATTTGCACACTCCTTCTGTATACACGAATCATTAGATTACTATGGGTGAGTGCAGATGACTTTTTAAAGTTTTATGTTATCATTATACATTTTGCTCAATTACTGTTTACTTTAAAGTTAATAAAGATTTTTGAACAAACAAGAATCAGTAATTACAATTATTTTGTGAACAAAAAGTGGGGAGTAAGACTCAGACAGGCCCCTCCTTGCCCCCCTTTAGATCTGCCCCTGATATTGATCAACATACTGTTTTTCATACTGATTATTTATAAACTTTATGCTCATATTTTATAGACATTGTGGACTAGAACAAATATTCTAATGTTACCATTCTACATTTAAAGGTTCTCATTGATGATTTTGCATTTTTCTCTGAATCTAGCTAAAACAATTGAAACCTGGGTAAACTGTTGAGTGTTTATAGAGTTTGATTTATTACTTTTGCCACTAGAGACATAAGAAGTTTCAGGCATGTGAGTCCAGTTTTAACTGATGCTGGTCGCCCTAAATAGATAAAAAATTAGGAGTAATAAGAAGATTCTCAGGGTATTCCGCATGTTGACTTTTCACATGTGTATGTGTGTGTCCTTGTTAATATATTATGGGGCCCATTTTCAGGGGAAATGGCACTGTGGGGACTGGCTGCTGCTTGTGGGGTCCGATGCCTGGACTCCACCCGGGGAATTGCTGTTTAGGACCAAGGTGTGAATTGGTTTTAGGTTTAAGTTAGGGTTAACATGAAGACTTAATGGTAAGGGTAAAGGTCACGGTTAGGCTGTATGAAATAATGGAAGTCAATGGAAAGGAACTGCAAAGATAGTGAGACATGTTTTTGTGTGAGTGTGTGGTATTTCAGGTTATTTGAAAAGGAAAGCCTACAGTAACTGCTGCCTGACCAAACTTGTTATGTTTTTTTCCCCCAGTGTTAAGAAAATCATCTCCTTGTCATTCATCTACTCTAAGCTTATCAGAGATGGTAATAAAAATGCATTTTATCCCCCCCTCTCCCTTTGTTTCTCCTGAGACAT